TATGGTATACGTGGGTGGAGCTTTCATTCAGATCCAGGGGAGAGACTGCAGACTAGAGAAGGCATGTCATTCTCCTGCCTGTGTTAAATATATCCACATTTATAATCTAAGGAGATAAAGCATAAGGACTCTCATATCCTATCTCCTATTTCAGGCAGAAGGGATAACAAGAACGCATGTGTGTAATCTCTACCCTTGCAGGTGAGGAAGGCAGTTCTTCATTTCATCAGGAGGCTGCTCAGTTCAGGAAGTGTGGAGAATTGTGCAGCATGGGATGTGGTAGCATATGTTTTCCGCGAGTTCAGTGTGTCCACCAGCAAACTGGTAAGGAGAGTTCTTAACACTTAGGACTTGGTCCTACCATTCTTGCATGCTGATTGCTTCCCTTGCCTTCCGTGGGAGTTTTGACTCAAGGACAGCTGGACTGAATGATTAGAGCCAGAGTCTGATCAATTATATTGGTGTAAAGTCAAGGGAACTCCACTGACTTTAGTGGCGTTACTCTGGATTTATACTAGTGTAACAGAGATCAGAATCTCACACTGGGTCTTTACATCTAACAGAGTTATCGAGGTTACTCAAACCTCTGATGAGACATTGAACATTCTGAAACCACCATTTTTCAGTGAAATGTTCTTGTACAAGGAAGCACATCTTTTTGTTTTCAATAGACTCTCCAGAGAACATAATGATGCCCAATTCTGTGGCTGTTGAAGCACACATAAACTATCAGCAAAACACCGAGGTTATGCAGGCTGCATCCCAGACTGTCAGGAGCCTGGAAAAGCTTGCTGCATATTTCCCGCACTACATACTCTACTCTACATGTACTAGTTTAAAAATATCTTCAATCCGTATTTCTATCCATGGACACAGCCAGGGGCTCCAGACACTTTGTGCTCCATGACTGGATCCATGATATGTATTAACATAAACAGTTCAACTTTACAGTAAGTTGTTGATAGACTCACACTCACTACACACAGAATGACCAAGCTGGTTGGGGCATCAGAACAAACAGAGTGGATCCCCCTGGTTCTGCATATTTATTTCCACTGGGCGGAGGCTGAATGTTTTTCCTCAGAGATAAAAAGTTGAAACAGTTTTTTTTCAAATTTTAAAAAATGTAACACTGTTGGGGAAACTATTTTGTGTTCAGTGAATCATTCCCTTCACTTTAGGGTGTACCTAAGCCTGGGATCTGACCCACCAGTTAGGAGTTTCTATTATGCTCTTCCCTTCAGACGTTTGTGCACTTCCGGTGCAATATAAAAGCAGGCATAGGTCAATGTTCAAGATGGCTTTGTAAGAGAAGGACACTGATTCTATAGCCAGTGTCTTACTACTAGCTCTATAGAACTTATTAGCTA